CGCGATAGAACACCTTTGGGATGAATTAGAGCGGAGACTGCGAGCCCGGCCTTCTCCTCCAACATCAGTACCTGACCTCACAAATGTGCTTCTGCAAGAATGCTCAAACATTCCCATAGACACACTCCGAAACCATGTGGACGCCTCCCGAGTAGTGTTGAAGCTGTTATAGCAGCAAAGGGTGGGCCAACTCAATATTAACCCCTTCATGACTGAGGCCCTTTTTTAAGTGGTATACCCCAAAACATTACAAGGGTACAGGTAATAATTTATTCATCTGCCATGGTTTTTCTTAATTTTGTTTTGTCTGAAGTTTTCCTCCAGTCTGTTTGCCCTGAAAAGAACTGCCATTCACAATAAGATCATAAATATTCATAGTACATTCCCTCTTCTGTCATTTTGTCATATTAATAAGCCGGTACAACATATCGCAGATCTTGCTTATTCTGAAAACACCGTACTACCACATCAAAAAGTTCTAGATGTCACGTATTAATGTGCATTCAACAGCTAACACTGTGCCAAGTAATAATGAATGCAGACACTCCAAGTTGTTTAGCCTGGAGATAGTACAATGTGGCGAAGGCTGACAGATATTTGCCCTCGCTCCTGTCCTGGATCCCTCTCCCAGCTGCTCTGTTGCAGGATATCACACAGCTGTCATCTACAACCAAAAGCAACTCTTGGCATGTATGTTACTTCCAGTAAAACAGCTTGTGGACTGCAGTCACTCTTCAGGATCTCACATTCTCTTGTCTATTCTTATCACAGGCTTTGACTTTTTTTTTTTCTTCAAAGAATTCCAATTTTATGAACAATAATCAAATAAAAAAAATTTGACAAATAGTATCTATAACAAGATGGCGGATGTCATTAAAACAAAACAAAATGTTGTGCTTTTATCTTGAAATTATTTTTTGTTTTGTTGTATATAGAGTGGGGTTTAGTTACTGCCTTGGACAAAGAGGAAAGATCTTTTCTGTGTATGTGACACCAAGGGAAAAGACACTGCACTATTTGTGTACCAAAGTTGTTGAGAAGACTTCCTTCCTTTCTGGTGTAACACCAAGAAAGGAAGTGGAGGGAAATCTCTTAATTATTATTACAGGTATTGATATAGCACCAACATTTTACACAGCGCTTTACATAGTTGCACATTCACATCAGACTCTACCCTCAAGGAGCTTACAATCTTAGGTACCTAACTCACATGCATTCATAGAGGGCCAACTTAGAGAGGAGCCAATTAACCTTCCAGCATGTCTTTGGAGTGTGGGAGGAAAGCAGAGTACTTGGAGGAAACCCACGCAAGCACAGAGAGAGAGAACATGCAAACTCTTTGCAGATAGTTACCTGGCTGGGATTTGAACCAGGGACCCCCAGTGCTGCAAGGCAGAAGTGTTAACCACTACACCACTGTGCTGCTTAATGGAGAGACTTACACATAGTAAAGATGTAACCTGCAATTAAAAACATGTAGAATAGAGTCCATGACAACCAACATTTAATGCAGTTATATACTTAAAAAATGATTTAAATGCATTTTAAAAGCAAAGGGCTTCTAAAGGACAAAGGGGCTGATCTATAAAACAGTCCAGCGTATAGCTGGGTGAATGCTGTTTGCATGGCATTATTGCCACTAGATGGAGCCGAGGAGCATAGGAAAACCTCTGCTCCTTCTAGTGGCCATAACACCATGCGAACTATACGCTGGACAGAAGTTGTATACATCAGCCCCAAAGAGTGTGTCTATATGACTATGGTAGGGATGTTAGATTGTAAGCTTCCTTAAGGACAGGGGATCACCTTGCACAGCCCTGTGTAATATGTTATATCAATGTGGAAACAACGCAGAACACACAACACCATACCATAAACTACTGTATAGTATACTGCGCTACTGTGCTAAAAGTGAATATGAATCTACTGTTTGTGTTAAAGGGAAACTAACAGGACTTACCATAGCAAACTATAGCTGCAGATTGGAATTCACTGTCATAGTCCCACAAACCAATGAGCTCTCTATTACTTTCCAGCTGGCATTGGTTTATGGGATGTCAGGAAAAAGATCATAGCACTGAGTCGGAACTGAAGTCAAGACCACAGCGAAGAGAGTGGGGCTGCCCAGGTACACAGAAGAAAAAAGAACTTGCCCTTGCAGGCATAGTAAAGTGCCTACTGTCACTAAGCAGTTTTTGTTACTGAGTTTTAAATGATGTCAGAATCTCTTCAAATATTTAGCGCTGGGCTTTAGCAGGCTCAGACAAGCTGTTCTTTTAAATGGGAAAAATGAAGAGGATGCGATAATGTATGTTCACTCTGTTGAGATGTGAAAGCAAGTCAACACACTTTTCTTATGCCTGAGAGCACTCAGGAAGAGTCAGGAAGAGTCAAGAACACGTAGTGAGTGCTCCTTTTGGGATATGTGTACAAGCTTTCACAGAGTATGTTATAATGCAGATGTGCTAATTGGTAACACTGTAAGAGGAACAGATTAATTCACTTGCAATTTTGTTAAGGAACCTGAAAAGCATTGCCTATTAGTAGTAAAATACTCGAGGACTGACTTATAATATAACCAGGTAGACAAAATATCAGCAGACACTCACCCTCTCTGTCTTTTTTTCTCAACCTTAATAAACTATGTACATCTAGTACTCAGGGCTGGATTTGCCACAAGGCCACCGAGGCCCGGCCTCGGGGCGGCAGGGAGCAGAGGGGCGGCAGGGGTGTGGAATCTCCCGACGCCCAGGACAGGCAGTTGCCTTGGGGCAGCAGGTAGAGTAAATCCTGCCCTGTGAGTACTTCACTACCGCCTGTGTATGAATGATTTCCAGTCACTTGTGCTTTAAAATCAATAAGGATACTTCCTTAGCTTTATTGTACATAAGGTTTATCATTTGCATGAATGGCACTGCAGCACACCAATGCTGGTAAAGTGCACTACCATGGATTACAGTAAGGTGCATCATACTGCAAAGCAAGTGGAATGAATGGGTTCCGAATGGTCTGACAATGAAGAGTTTAGTCTGTAGCATCAGGAGCAGGGGTTTTGTAGTCGTTAATACAAGATCGGGTTATTTTAATGAAAGTGAGCTGGTCCACTTTGCCTCCACGCAACAAAACCTCCAGCTGTGCTGAAGACCCTCTGACAGCACACTGGCTACAGGGCAAGCCAGAAGCTCCAGAACATACTGTGCAAGCTCTGTGCTTTGTAGAGCAACCACTATGAGATAGCTGCCTCTAGATGGTGCAGACCAACCACTGCTTTAGCCTACAAAACCTGCTTGCCTCCTACTACCTCTGTGTCAAGAACATCTGCCTCTCACTTTAGGTCTGCCTGACATTTATAATAAAGGGGACTGCTTAAACTTAATGGCTGCTATGGAATAAGGGGAGAAAATATGTGGTGCTTTGGTGCACACTACTTTATCACACAAGTATGCTGTGACAGGCTGCAAACAAAAGGCAACTTTGCCTGTGTCAGCAACAAGTGTATCCTGTGCACCCTGAAATGAAAAAAAAGGCCCTAAAAAAATATACACTACATCATCTCCTTCTTTTTCAAAGGTCATGCAGTGGATTATGGTTACAAGGAATTCTAATCTATGACAAATTTCAACCAAAAACCTCAAACATGTAGGATTTACCTCAAAACCACGGTAGCGGAAAACCTGAATCTCCTCCCTAATGGCAATGATTGGACAGTGTATGTATTGACTAGGGATGCACAGATACTTTTTGAATACCAGTGCCGATACTTGGCATTTTCATGAGAATGACCAGGGTTGCAGTGGTTGCAGCTGGGACCTGGCTCTGGCACTCCACCATTGTCCTGAAAAAAACATTCGTCTGTATTGTTTTAGAAAAACTGTCACATGACAATAAACAAAAATGTATCAGTACTTGTACTTGTAAGTACTCGGCAAGTACCAGTACTCGTACTCGCAAAACTGGTATCTGTGCATCCCTTTATTTATATTTATAAAAACAAAATCGTACATTAAAACAGAGATGTACAAATCCCGGGAGCTCAGTGTGCTCCTTACAAATGACAGCTGCCTCCTAATTTTTGAATTTTTCTCTAGTCTAGTCTTCGAGCTCAAAAGTATCGGTACATGTACTCGTACTTGTACCGAGTACTGTATTTGGTATCTGTGCAACCCTAGTATTGACATATATCCAGCACTGTATACCAGACATGTAACCCCACAAAAAATGTGTTTAGTTTTTATTTCGTTTTTTGGATCCGAAATTTGATTTGGCTTGTTATTCAGATTTCTTATCCGTCTGACTTTTTGTTTCGGCACAAAGTCACATCACAGTGCCTGTAATGCAATCCCCAACAGCCCAAAAAAATCTGATTGGCCAGAAAACACACAAACTGAATACGTTTTGTTTTCATCAAAAGTTGTTACGAATCTGAATTTTTGTTAAACGAGCATTCGGATTAGTTCTCATTCAGACGTGTTAGAATCTGGAAATTCGGATGCATCAGAATGCCCGCATTTACCGTAATTCATACGAATATCTATTTGGAACAAAATGAAATGTAGATGTCTACTGAATACAGCCATGTACACAGGAGTTAAAAGCCACAATGCTATTTATAACATTCTCACTGATAGGAACAGTGACAGCAAATTTAGCTCTTGTGACTGAAGTGGTTCTTTTTTCCATCTGCCCGTCCAGCATCCGAAGCCCAGGGACTGAAGACGGCCTCCACATCTCTGATAATAGTACAAGTGTTCGAGCAGATCTCTGCTCTAAAGTTAGGGGTGTGTCAGCTCACAGGCAGCACGATGATAAACTCAATGGGACCATCTATTTTTATCCTCCTGTTCTTTGCCTCTGCTTCAGCTTTCAAGGCTGCCTGAGTTTTTCTGCTGAATGATTTCCAATGCTCTTACTCCTCATTTTTATGAGTGACTAGAATAGAGGAAGGTCCCTTTAAGTTTTTGTATATCTAATACAATTTCCCACTTGGATTTTGGGACAACATGTCTGGTGAAAGCAGTTTCGCTGGACAGCCGTCTACTACCGCACTCAGTTCTGTTGCCATACAAGCTGGAGAATCTAGAATAATCATCTCTGTCCTAAAGGTAAGCAATTGTAGAACTAACTTGCTGTGCTGAAGTGTCACTTTACTGGGCTCGCCTAAACAGAACCAAAATGACGGAAAGTTTTATAATGTTAATACTTCAAGTCCCTTTAAATGCATGCTTCACATTCTGCTGCATTGTGACCTTCACTTCTGAACTGTCATTGATGGCATTTGCCTTCAGCATAGAGACATGCACACAGGTTTACTTAATAAGGCAATGCGAAAGCGGCTTCTAAATATTATTATCTATGTTATACTGTATGTGATCTTGTATTGTACAACTGCTGTGTACCAATTCACTGTACACTACTGCAGAATAAGTTGGTGCTGCATTTAAATTGCAGTTGGCTTCACTTTTCATCCATTTAGAGCATCAGAACATGAGAGACAATTGTAACCATATTTGATTGCAGGGATTACAGCACCATTGCCTATGATCACTTCCGTTTGCTACTGTAGTGACTTTTGAATGTGTGAACAAACCAGTTGATAATGTTATGCACCTGCTTGATAATTTGTGATTTTCTGTGATTTTGTTTTTTCTAGTTCAGACTATCTGTTGCTTTTGAAAAGTGAGAAATGTTCACCAGATCACTTTATATATTCAAAATCACAAAAATAAATTGCATAAAGAAGCAACTACATGAGACAATTTGCATTTGCCTATTCAAAATAAAGAGGAAAATTGTTACTACCGCCTTTGATGTTACCGATTTAGTGTATTCTGCTATTGTCTGCGATTGCTCATATGATGGTGCTGCTAAAATCTGGCCAACTTTGCTAGATAAAAAGTAATATCCAAAGCAGATGATCAATTTCATGCAACTTTAATCACAAAATTGCACAATCAAAATTTGACTGTGCAGCTCAAGTCTAGTACACTATAACAGTATCAGCACTAAAAGGTATGTCTAAAAGCAGTTAATGTAAGTTTGTAAAGAATACTTAGGGTAACTAACCATACACTATACAATCTGATTGTACACACTGCTTTAGATCTACCAACATATATCTAGTGTAAGGGCTTTGATACTCATTAAATTAGTTGTTTGTTAAGTGAGATTGTACAATCAGATTGTTTATTGTATGGTCAGCTTTACACACGATTGAATGGCATGAGCACATGGGTACACATTGCCTTTTGCAGTAATTGACAGCTCCCTAGGCTGGCAATTACACAGCCTGGCCCCTTCTACCTGCCTGATATAGTGAAAGTCTGCCAGCAGGTGAAGATGTTAGTGTGCTGTGTTGAGGACGTCTACCTGCACACAGAGGCGGCTCTAGAGTTTGCAAGGCCTTAGGCGAAACCTAAACATGAGGCCCCACTCAGGCCTGTGGGGTCTCACCGGGCTGTCGGGTTTAACCAGGATGGTGAGACCCCACAGAGCCCTGGTGAGACCCTACAGAGCCCTGGTTAAACCAGGGCTCTGTAGGGTCTCACCAGGGCTCTGTGGAGTCTCACCAGCTTGGTGAGACCCCACAGAGCCCTGGTGAGATCCCAAAGACCCCTGGTGAAATCCCAAAGAGCCCTGGTTAAACCAGGGTTCTATAGGGTCTCACCAGGGCTTTGTAGGGTCCCAACAGGGCTCTGTAGGGTTTAACCAGACCAATCGCCAAAGCCCCCCCCCCGGATCGTTGTTGGGGAGCGGCGAGTCAGGGAGCTCAGAGCAGAGAGGAGAGGAGAAGAGGCGTGTTGTCTGTCGTGCGTCTCGGGTCGTGTGTGGAGCCGCGAGCAGGGTAAACCAATCGATAGCCGACTAATCGATGATGGAAATGTTGCCAACCACATCGATTAGTTGTTGCAGCTCTAGTAGAGTCTCACCAGAGCTCTGAGGGGGTCCCACAAGGACTCTGAAGGGGTCTCACCATGGCTCTGAAGGGGGTCTCACCAGAAGACAGTGGATGGACCGCACCGATGATCGAGGAAACGGATGAGCTCTCAGCCCTGTCGCTATCACTCCTGTCAGTTTGACAGTGACAGGGCTGAGAGCTCACAACGTTACCTGGCTGCGAGCGATGTGATGTGGCGTTCTGACAGGGCAAACTAGGCGGCCGCGAGGCCCTCGGGAGCGCCAGGCCTAAGGCGACCGCCTAATTTGCCTAATTAAAGAGCCGCCTCTGCCTGCACATACACACAACAGTAACCTGCATTTCCAAAGGTACAGGGTTTGGGGCTGATCTGAACTCTGACGTGTATGGATTGCATTGGGACTGATCTTAGGTCTGAAGGTGCATGCATTTGGGCTGATCTAATGTCTGAAATGCATGCATGCATTCGTTGGAGCTGGTCTGAGGTGCATGCATGCATTGAGGCTGACCTGAGGTCTGAAGTGCATGTATGCATTGGGATTATCTAAGGTCTGAAGGTGCATGAATTGGGGCTGATCTGAGGTCTGAAGGTGCATAAATTGGGGCTGATCTGAGGTCTGAAAGTGCAGAAATTGGGGCTGATCTGAGGTCTGAAGTTGCAGGATTTGGAGCTGATCTAAGGTCTGAAGATGCATGCATTGGGGCTGATCTGAGGTCTAAAGGTGTAGGAATCGATGCTGATCTGAGGTCTGAAGGTGCAGAAATAGGGGCTGATTTGAGGTCTGAAGGTGCAGGAATTGGGGCTGATCTGAGGCCTGAAGGTGCATGAATTAGGGCTGATCTAAGGTATGAAGGTACAGGATTTGGGGGCTAATTTGAGGTCTGAAGATGCAGGAAATGGGTCCAATATGGGGTCTGAAGGTGCTGTAATTGGAGCTGATCTGAGGTCTGAAAGTGCAGGAATTGGGGCTGATCTAAGGTCTAAAGGTGTATGATTTGATGCTGATCTAAGGTCTGAAGGTGTATGATTTGATGCTGATCTGAGGTCTGAAGGTGCATGATTTAAGGGTGATCTGAGGTTTAAATGTGAATGAGTTGGGGCTGATCTGAGGTCTAAATGTGAATGAGTTGGGGCTGATCTGAGGTCTAAATGTGAATGAGTTGGGGCTGATCTGAGGTCTAAATGTGAATGAGTTGGGGCTGATCTGAGGTCTAAATGTGAATGAGTTGGGACTGATCTGACTTGTTACTAGCAGTACAACTATGAGTCAAAAAATGAAAAACAAACTAAACAGCTACGCCTCGCTGTTGTTCACCAGCACGCCAGTTTTGTGATGCTTGTAAATTGACACTTAAAATGAAAACGGTTTGTGAACCCTTGCTATTGTGTTTGTAAATTGATATTTATCACTGTGTGTGACCACTGGCTTGTGCATTTGTGGGCAAAGTAATTATGTTCACAGCCATACCAAAAACACTTTATTGTAAAGATTTGGCTAATAGATGTAAAGAACATTTGTTATGTATAGGATCACAAGCAATGCTGCACGTGCTATCGTAGACATATTCAAGATTCACGTTAAACACATCTATACCCAAGAACAAGAATTGAATATATTGCAGCTCACCAGTCATTAGATGTGGTCACTTCTTTATTTTTTTGCTGGCTTTTTTCCCTTTATTTTCACTTGGCGATCCTGCTGTAACACACCTCTCTTTCCCAGGGAGATAACACTTAGGGGGTTATTCACTAAAGAGCTGAAGGATCCAAGTGTAGCTTTGGCTGATCCTTCGGCCGCCTCTACCCTTTGGTTCAGTCGAACCGTAGGGCTGCTGTATGGGCTATTCAGAATAGCCCGTACAACAGCCAAAGGCAGCCAAGCCAAGCCAAGCCAAGCCAAGCCAAACGTATATGCTTTGGCTTGGCTGAGCCGTAGTGACAACCAAAGCGCGGGCAACGGTTGGCCGAAGCCGTATTATACCAGGTATTTTGAGAGCCAGAGGGGGGCCAACTAGCAAGATACTGAAGCTTGGTCCAGTGGGAGATTCCCCCATCCACACAGCTTAGCGTAGATGGAGGAATCTGTTGCACTTTTTCCACCTGACATTGAAAATCTGCAGATAATCTATAGGTGTATGGCCAGCTTAAGAATTGAAGGCTTTGGATCTACATAAAAGCCAGCCGGCATTTTCAGATGGAGCACAACCTATTAATTGCATTGTGTATTGTGTGATGGCTGCAATCCTTTTTTTATTTAAGAATTATTTCCTATGTGTTGATATATATTTAGATAATCATATTATTGCTGCATTTAAAAAAACTAAAATTTTGATTATTCTTTATTGATTTAAAAGTATGAGCAATGTAATCCTAAGGGCTAGTTCAGCCCTCACACAGTATACAATGCAATGAATAGGTTGTTTATGAAAAAACATACGCAATAAAGTTTGTTTTTAAAAAAAAGAGAAGAAAAATACCTTGCTCTGATTAGGAGAATCGATCAGACACTAACACAGCAGAGTAAAACAACAGCACATGCAGGCAGCAGCTGTTGCCAATCTAAAGTGGGCGGTATGTGGATGTCGGGAGGACGTCATCCTGTAGTCCTGGCACAGGTCGGGAGGGCGCACACAGACACCACGTAACATTCCAAGGAAGAGGCAGTCAGCTGCAAAACGGTAGTTCTCCCCAGCATCTCCCCAGTAATATACAGGGGTACAAGTACTCTTTAGATTGAGAACACACAGGGACCTATACATACTACACACCAGGCGGCTGTGCAGCTAACACTGGCTTCTTCTTTGGTCCATGTTTTCACTTACAATGCTTTAATCATGTCGACCTTTGTGAGTATGTTTCTCATTTTCTATTGTTTTTATCTTAAATAAATTTGTCTGCACCAGGAAAGACGCCCCTTGTTTGTGCTTTTTCCCCAGATTTTGCAGTCCCCCTGGCTGGTTTGGGGCAGCGGCCTGCAGATTTTCTATTACATCCCTCTCTTTTAAAACAGACTTTGCACTCAATTGCACACTTTTTATTCTGGTGGAGCAGTCCCATTTGGCGCTTTTTTGCACATATCTACCTTGTCCTATACACCTACTTGAAATGTACACAGTAATTAATTTTTTTGGGGCATTAACAAACAAACTAGGCAGCTAGGCAACAATGAAATGGCACATGGTTCACAG